AATTGAATGAGTATTGTCATTTCTCGTAGTTATTCGTGTCTGGGTCACTGCTAACCCAACGAACAACGAGTTTGCATTTGCAAGCGCTCATCTCATATTCATAGTCAGTAAGTAGTATGTGAACGTGTGTGTGGACGACATTTTCGAGGAAGCACCCGACCGGTCTGGCGGTTGTTGCCGCTCATCAGCTATGCGTACTCGGTACTCTTATGCCCACTCGTCTTCTGACTTGTACACTCCGATGATCTTCTATAATCACTAGGATCTAATTTGAATCGTCTCGAGTGTGGATGGATACTGTTGATTGAAGAGGCGACAAATGAATGAGAATTGTCATTTCTCGTAGTTATTCGTGTCTGGGTCACTGCTAACCCAACGATCAACGAGTTTGCATTTGCAAGCGCTCATCTCATATTCATAGTCAGTAAGTAGTATGTGAACGTGTGTGTGGACGACATTTTCGAGGAAGCACATGACCGGTTTGGCGGTTGTTGCCGCTCATCAGCTATGCGTACTCGGTACTCCTATGCCCACTCGTCTTCTGACTTGTACACTCCGATGATCTTTTATGTTTACTAGGATCTAATTTGAATCGTCTCGAGTGTGGATGGATACTGTTGATTGAAGAGGCGACAAATGAATGAGAATTGTCATTTCTCGTAGTTATTCGTGTCTGGGTCACTGCTAACCCAACGAACAACGAGTTTGCATTTGCAAGCGCTCATCTCATATTCATAGTCAGTAAGTAGTATGTGAACGTGTGTGTGGACGACATTTTCGAGGAAGCACACGACCGGTTTGGCGGTTGTTGCCGCTCATCAGCTATCCGTACTCGGTACTCCTATGCCCACTCGTCTTCTGACTTGTACACTCCGATGATCTTTTTTCATGTTCAATAGGATCTAATTTGAATCGTCTCGAGTGTGGATGGATACTGTTGATTGAAGAGGCGACAAATGAATGAGAATTGTCATTTCTCGTAGTTATTCGTGTCTGGGTCACTGCTAACCCAACGAACAACGAGTTTGCATTTGCAAGCGCTCATCTCATATTCATAGTCAGTAATTAGTATGTGAACGTGTGTGTGGACGACATTTTCGAGGAAGCACACGACCGGTTTGGCGGTTGTTGCCGCTCATCAGCTATCCGTACTCGGTACTCCTATGCCCACTCGTCTTCTGACTTGTACACTCCGATGATCTTTTATGTTTACTAGGATCTAATTTGAATCGTCTCGAGTGTGGATGGATACTGTTGATTGAAGAGGCGACAAATGAATGAGAATTGTCATTTCTCGTAGTTATTCGTGTCTGGGTCACTGCTAACCCAACGAACAACGAGTTTGCATTTGCAAGCGCTCATCTCATATTCATAGTCAGTAAGTAGTATGTGAACGTGTGTGTGGACGACATTTTCGAGGAAGCACACGACCGGTTTGGCGGTTGTTGCCGCTCATCAGCTATGCGTACTCGGTACTCCTATGCCCACTCGTCTTCTGACTTGTACGCTCCGATGATCTTCTATAATCACTAGGATCTAATTTGAATCGTCTCGAGTGTGGATGGATACTGTTGATTGAAGAGGCGACAAATGAATGAGAATTGTCATTTCTCGTAGTTATTCGTGTCTGGGTCACTGCTAACCCAACGAACAACGAGTTTGCATTTGCAAGCGCTCATCTCATATTCATAGTCAGTAAGTAGTATGTGAACGTGTGTGTGGACGACATTTTCGAGGAAGCACACGACCGGTTTGGCGGTTGTTGCCGCTCATCAGCTATGCGTACTCGGTACTCTTATGCCCACTCGTCTTCTGACTTGTACACTCCGATGATCTTCTATAATCACTAGGATCTAATTTGAATCGTCTCGATTGTGAATGGATACTGTTGATTGAAGAGGCGACAAATGAATGAGAATTGTCATTTCTCGTAGTTATTCGTGTCTGGGTCACTGCTAACCCAACGGACAACGAGTTTGCATTTGCAAGCGCTCATCTCATATTCATAGTCAGTAAGTAGTATGTGAACGTGTGTGTGGACGACATTTTCGAGGAAGCACACGACCGGTTTGGCGGTTGTTGCCGCTCATCAGCTATGCGTACTCGGTACTCCTATGCCCACTCGTCTTCTGACTTGTACACTCCGATGATCTTTTATGTTCACTAGGATCTAATTTGAATCGTCTCGAGTGTGAATGGATACTGTTGATTGAAGAGGCGACAAATTAATGAGAATTGTCATTTCTCGTAGTTATTCGTGTCTGGGTCACTGCTAACCCAACGATCAACGAGTTTGCATTTGCAAGCGCTCATCTCATATTCATAGTCAGTAAGTAGTATGTGAACGTGTGTGTGGACGACATTTTCGAGGAAGCACATGACCGGTTTGACGGTTGTTGCCGCTCATCAGCTATGCGTACTCGGTACTCCTATGCCCACTCGTCTTCTGACTTGTACACTCCGATGATCTTCTATAATCACTAGGATCTAATTTGAATCGTCTCGAGTGTGAATGGATACTGTTGATTGAAGAGGCGACAAATGAATGAGAATTGTCATTTCTCGTAGTTATTCGTGTCTGGGTCACTGCTAACCCAACGGACAACGAGTTTGCATTTGCAAGCGCTCATCTCATATTCATAGTCAGTAAGTAGTATGTGAACGTGTGTGTGGACGACATTTTCGAGGAAGCACACGACCGGTTTGGCGGTTGTTGCCGCTCATCAGCTATGCGTACTCGGTACTCCTATGCCCACTCGTCTTCTGACTTGTACACTCCGATGATCTTTTATGTTCACTAGGATCTAATTTGAATCGTCTCGAGTGTGAATGGATACTGTTGATTGAAGAGGCGACAAATTAATGAGAATTGTCATTTCTCGTAGTTATTCGTGTCTGGGTCACTGCTAACCCAACGATCAACGAGTTTGCATTTGCAAGCGCTCATCTCATATTCATAGTCAGTAAGTAGTATGTGAACGTGTGTGTGGACGACATTTTCGAGGAAGCACATGACCGGTTTGACGGTTGTTGCCGCTCATCAGCTATGCGTACTCGGTACTCCTATGCCCACTCGTCTTCTGACTTGTACACTCCGATGATCTTCTATAATCACTAGGATCTAATTTGAATCGTCTCGAGTGTGGATGGATACTGTTGATTGAAGAGGCGACAAATGAATGAGAATTGTCATTTCTCGTAGTTATTCGTGTCTGGGTCACTGCTAACCCAACGAACAACGAGTTCGCATTTGCAAGCGCTCATCTCATATTCATAGTCAGTAAGTAGTATGTGAACGTGTGTGTGGACGACATTTTCGAGGAAGCACACGACCGGTTTGGCGGTTGTTGCCGCTCATCAGCTATCCGTACTCGGTACTCCTATGCCCACTCGTCTTCTGACTTGTACGCTCCGATGATCTTCTATAATCACTAGGATCTAATTTGAATCGTCTCGAGTGTGGATGGATACTGTTGATTGAATTGGCGACAAATGAATGAGAATTGTCATTTCTCGTAGTTATTCGTGTCTGGGTCACTGCTAACCCAACGAACAACGAGTTTGCATTTGCAAGCGCTCATCTCATATTCATAGTCAGTAATTAGTATGTGAACGTGTGTGTGGACGACATTTTCGAGGAAGCACACGACCGGTTTGGCGGTTGTTGCCGCTCATCAGCTATGCGTACTCGGTACTCCTATGCCCACTCGTCTTCTGACTTGTACACTCCGATGATCTTTTATGTTCACTAGGATCTAATTTGAATCGTCTCGAGTGTGAATGGATACTGTTGATTGAAGAGGCGACAAATGAATGAGAATTGTCATTTCTCGTAGTTATTCGTGTCTGGGTCACTGCTAACCCAACGAACAACGAGTTTGCATTTGCAAGCGCTCATCTCATATTCATAGTCAGTAAGTAGTATGTGAACGTGTGTGTGGACGACATTTTCGAGGAAGCACATGACCGGTTTGGCGGTTGTTGCCGCTCATCAGCTATGCGTACTCGGTACTCCTATGCCCACTCGTCTTCTGACTTGTACACTCCGATGATCTTCTATAATCACTAGGATCTAATTTGAATCGTCTCGAGTGTGGATGGATACTGTTGATTGAAGAGGCGACAAATGAATGAGAATTGTCATTTCTCGTAGTTATTCGTGTCTGGGTCACTGCTAACCCAACGAACAACGAGTTTGCATTTGCAAGCGCTCATCTCATATTCATAGTCAGTGTAACGGACTCCTAGCAGTCGTTGAGATACGCGTAACACAATCAAAATAACGCCAAGCGTCCAATTGTGGTTTTCAATACGGTTCTTTATAAAACAATCATGAATACGACATAAAACTGTACAAACCTCAACGGTAACCGCTCCGTGAATCAGAGTCAGCCAAATGCAAGCAAATTCAGGTTTGCTTGAGGTTCAAGCGGTCAAGTCAACGAAATGTCTACGGGGACTGTGGGTCAAGGGTCATAAACGAATCAACGCACGCACCGGCCAGCAGTCAATAAAGGTCAATGTCCGGTGTGTGGTTCAGCGGATGAGCAAGTGTGGCGCAAAACGTTAATGGAAAACATAAACTGGAGTGAGGGTAGGGGGGTCAGATCGATCCTGAGTTAGTGCCTCGAGTTTGATTGTTCTGTCGATTACACCGCCCGCCAAATCCGCCACGGATTTCCCTAGTCGACATGCTCAAATCAGAATCGAGTCCTGGCTCCCCTTTCTTACCTACGATTCAGCACCCTCCAACTTCCCTTGGGATGTCAGGATTTACAGCAGTACACCTGCGCACCCCCTAGCCTAAGGTACCGTCGCTTCTGCGGCACCCAAGCACAAATGGTACAATTTGCTCTAGCCACAAGCGCTGAAATGCAAACAGAGCGGCAGCACCTGATCAACCCACTCCTTCCAGCAAACTCACCTTTCGTATATCCCGGTTGATGAGCCCATCCTTGTTTCGAACTGACACGAGACGCACGAGGCCATCAACCGAAGGCTTACATTCTACGGCGATCCCCAGGGGGCCATTGCTTTCTTGGTTCAATGTCGGATGCAATCATTACCAAATCACCGACCTTCAAGTTCCGATCCTTCGATATCCACTTTTGTCTTTTGTGCAGAAGGGGAACATATTCCTTAGTCCATCGGCGCCAAAACACGGCCGCCAGGTGTATGACTTGTCGCCATTTTTTCGTATATAGGCATCCCTGGTTGCCATCACTAGTGAGACTATGAGCAACCTCTATATGTATTGCTCTCGTCTGTAGGCAGGAGAAGAGGCATCCGTATCGTTTCTCTGTAGACCGTCCTCGTCGAACAGGGAATGGGCCGAAATAGTCAACACCGACTTCGTGGAACGGATACCACCCAGCCTCAGCTCGCATCGGTGGCAAGGGTGCCATTTGTTGGGCACTGCGATTTTGAGATGTACCACAATGCCCTTCCATTGCATGGTAATGACGAATGATTAAATCCGTTACCGGATGTCCCTTCGGCAGGATTGCAGGATGTTTAAAGCTCGGCTCATGATTACAGTAGTCCAGCCGCCCGCCGACACACATAATTTCATCAATTATTACAGGACATAAGGTCTTCAAGTGTCCGGATTCTGAACGCCGGGATTTCCAAGGTTTGGAAGCATTAGACTTAAGTCGACTTAGGTCATCGGCAAATTCACTACTCTGCACTTCGCGCACGATATCGTGTTCGGCCTTACGAATTTCATCGAGTGTTATTCGCCCTACTGATACTTCAATGCGAGTCTTCGTACTCATGCGGTACAGCAGATAATCTTTAAACCGAACTAGCCAGGCCATAAACTTCAACGGTTTCGTCCAGATGGGAAACTTGACAAATAACGGATTTGGCTCTCGGCTTATTAAATTAACATCTACCGTCGGTTTTTTGAACTCAATCTCTGTTGTCATGTCCGCATTTGGCAAAATAGTCGGCCATCGTGCACGTGGAAGCCTCCAAAATTCCGGGTCAGAGATCCACTTGTCTCTGTTTCCTAGCATGACCATTTCATACCTTTCATAAAAAGCTCTATCTCGCTGAAACCTTCGAACAAGTAGGTGAAGCCTCCGGGCAGCTACTTCATAGTTGTTGGGCATAGTTTCAGCGATTGTTTTCCATGAAAGGGCTAATTGATAATGCCCATCAACTAGTTTCAGGGATCGTTCTGCAATCGATAGCGCCTTCTGGCCCTCCAATGATGGTGCTTGCTTTGTAGATTCCTTGTCTGAGAAGTCCGCATCATACAGCCTTCGAAGCTGTTCTGAGATGGTGTTTTGTTCCTTTATCAGGTTGTTCACGGTGGACTCCCGGTCGTTGGATGGACCTAGAGGTCCCAGGATCATCCAACCCAAACGAGTTTTGACTGCGTAAGGTTCGCTCCTGTTTCCAATCCTCTGCTCTAAAACCCAGTGAGCCTCTGGTACGTCAGAACCTATCAGTACTCCTACCTTAACCTCTCCAGTGCGTTCCACGGGAACATCGCTCAGGTGTGGCCATCGACCCTTGACCGACCGCAAGTCCATACGTGGGGATTTGGAGAACAGCCGGTTGACACAAAGGGCGCGCTCCACTGAAACGTTGGCTGAATCATCCGAGGAAACCACACAAAGATTCACGACCCCCGATTCCATCTTGGAGAGTCCACTCACTGTTCTGATAGTTACACAGGAAGTCACCTGAGACAGTCCAACCTGTTCCACCAGACCTTTTTCTACCAGACTTACGTCGGAACCATTATCTATGAGTGCGTATGTTAGCGCGGTTCCTTTAGGTCCACTGATTTTCACTGGGATAATGCCGAGTGCTACGTCGTAACCAGTGGTGCGATTGGCTGCACACTGATACGTTTCTGGGCAAGCTACACTCAGTTTGTCGCGATGTAGTAATTCGTGGTGCCTGGCACTACACCCGAACTTCCCACATACCGTGGCCAGGGTACATTCCGCTGCACGATGTCCTTCCTGCAGGCATACGAAACAGCCACCGTTTCTTCGAAGCGAATTCCATCTGTCGCTAACTTCCATCGCTGCGAATTTTGAGCAGCTATCTGCGTTGTGTCCCTCCTTGCATACAATACATGTTTGTTCTTTTCTACTCATAAATTTCGAACAAGTAAAGTTTACTTGTCGATCACTCCTGTACGCTGAGTTACGAGGCGGGACTAATGGTTTCGCCGTAGCTGACAGAGCTATCTGCCCAAATCGACTTCGGGCTATTCGAGCTTCGGCTGCTACGAAACTCATCAGTTGTTTGAAGTTCGGCACACCTGAAGTCTCAGATGTTTCGTCTACTAGTCGTGCCCATCGATGTTGCAGCGGCCGAGATAGCATACGAACGACCCTCTCTAACGTGACTACTGAGTTAAGATCCGCATCGTATTCAAGCTGAGATAGGGCAATTTCGCAGCTCTGCATTTTTATCGCCAATTTTGTCAGTGACTCGGCATCGTCGGCATTAGGCATCACGGCTGACAACAGACCGTTCAACAGGGATCGTGCAACGACATGCGTCTGACCGAACAGATCCTTGAGGATTTCCCGAGCCTTTCGATAGCCCTGGTTCGGGGGCAACATGACGCATTCTTCTATTGCCTCTTTAGCTTTCCCCTTGCAGTAGTACAGAAGATACAGCAATCTCTGGCTTTCATCACTGATTCTGCCTTCGATATAATACTCGAACTGTTTCACAAACCTACAGTATCGAGTCGCCTCACCATCGAACTCAGCTAGTTCTACCTTAGGTAGCTGCATTTTGCATAAGACATCTCGCGTTTCCTCTGGTAATGGAAAGTGGGGCTCACGGAGTAGATTGTGGTCCTGTTTCTCACAGTCGTTGAGGAACATTTAGATCTTCTCTGACTGATTAACTACATCCGCTCTGACAGGATCACAAACTTCATCTTGTTCTAAAAGTTCGAAATTCATTCGTGCCATCTGAACCTCATTTCTCGCCTTCAAAAGACGGTGCTCATTCTCTAATCGAATTTCTTCGATTAGCTGTTTTTCCGTCAGCTGGGCTAGTAGAAGCACATTCTTCGCAGAATTTAAACTAGATGACGCTTTTGACTTAAAACTAACCCGTGAGCCAGGACAAGAAACCTCATCAAAGGCATGGGACAAAGGGGGTTGGACTTGCCTCGGATCCTCGGGTTCAATTATATGTGATCGGTTAAAAACGGGCATTTTTTGGCCGGCATCTTGATTCCAAGCTCGTTGAGAACTGTAACGGACTCCTAGCAGTCGTTGAGATACGCGTAACACAATCAAAAAAACGCCAAGCGTCCAATTGTGGTTTTCAATACGGTTCTTTATAAAACAATCATGAATACGACATAAAACTGTACAAACCTCAACGGTAACCGCTCCGTGAATCAGAGTCAGCCAAATGCAAGCAAATTCAGGTTTGCTTGAGGTTCAAGCGGTCAAGTCAACGAAATGTCTACGGGGACTGTGGGTCAAGGGTCATAAACGAATCAACGCACGCACCGGCCAGCAGTCAATACAGGTCAATGTCCGGTGTGTGGTTCAGCGGATGAGCAAGTGTGGCGCAAAACGTTAATGGAAAACATAAACTGGAGTGAGGGTAGGGGGGTCAGATCGATCCTGAGTTAGTGCCTCGAGTTTGATTGTTCTGTCGATTACAGTCAGTAAGTAGTATGTGAACGTGTGTGTGGACGACATTTTCGAGGAAGCACACGACCGGTTTGGCGGTTGTTGCCGCTCATCAGCTATGCGTACTCGGTACTCCTATGCCCACTCGTCTTCTGACTTGTACACTCCGATGATCTTCTATAATCACTAGGATCTAATTTGAATCGTCTCGAGTGTGGATGGATACTGTTGATTGAAGAGGCGACAAATGAATGAGAATTGTCATTTCTCGTAGTAATTCGTGTCTGGGTCACTGCTAACCCAACGAACAACGAGTTTGCATTTGCAAGCGCTCATCTCATATTCATAGTCAGTAAGTAGTATGTGAACGTGTGTGTGGACGACATTTTCGAGGAAGCACACGACCGGTTTGGCGGTTGTTGCCGCTCATCAGCTATGCGTACTCGGTACTCCTATGCCCACTCGTCTTCTGACTTGTACACTCCGATGATCTTTTATGTTCAATAGGATCAAATTTGAATCGTCTCGATTGTGAATGGATACTGTTGATTGAAGAGGCGACAAATGAATGAGAATTGTCATTTCTCGTAGTTATTCGTGTCTGGGTCACTGCTAACCCAACGAACAACGAGTTTGCATTTGCAAGCGCTCATCTCATATTCATAGTCAGTAAGTAGTATGTGAACGTGTGTGTGGACGACATTTTCGAGGAAGCACACGACCGGTTTGGCGGTTGTTGCCGCTCATCAGCTATGCGTACTCGGTACACCTATGCCCACTCGTCTTCTGACTTGTACACTCCGATGATCTTCTATAATCACTAGGATCTAATTTGAATCGTCTCGATTGTGAATGGATACTGTTGATTGAAGAGGCGACAAATGAATGAGAATTGTCATTTCTCGTAGTTATTCGTGTCTGGGTCACTGCTAACCCAACGAACAACGAGTTTGCATTTGCAAGCGCTCATCTCATATTCATAGTCAGTAAGTAGTATGTGAACGTGTGTGTGGACGACATTTTCGAGGAAGCACACGACCGGTTTGGCGGTTGTTGCCGCTCATCAGCTATGCGTACTCGGTACTCCTATGCCCACTCGTCTTCTGACTTGTACACTCCGATGATCTTTTATGTTCAATAAGATCCAATTTGAATCGTCTCGATTGTGAATGGATACTGTTGATTGAAGAGGCGACAAATGAATGAGAATTGTCATTTCTCATAGTTATTCGTGTCTGTGTCACTGCTAACCCAACGAACAACGAGTTTGCATTTGCAAGCGCTCATCTCATATTCATAGTCAGTAAGTAGTATGTGAACGTGTGTGTGGACGACATTTTCGAGGAAGCACACGACCGGTTTGGCGGTTGTTGCCGCTCATCAGCTATCCGTACTCGGTACTCCTATGCCCACTCGTCTTCTGACTTGTACACTCCGATGATCTTCTATAATCACTAGGATCTAATTTGAATCGTCTCGATTGTGAATGGATACTGTTGATTGAAGAGGCGACAAATGAATGAGAATTGTCATTTCTCGTAGTTATTCGTGTCTGGGTCACTGCTAACCCAACGAACAACGAGTATGCATTTGCAAGCGCTCATCTCATATTCATAGTCAGTAAGTAGTATGTGAACGTGTGTGTGGACGACATTTTCGAGGAAGCACACGACCGGTTTGGCGGTTGTTGCCGCTCATCAGCCTATGCGTACTCGGTACTCCTATGCCCACTCGTCTTCTGACTTGTACACTCCGATGATCTTCTATAATCACTAGGATCTAATTTGAATCGTCTCGATTGTGAATGGATACTGTTGATTGAATTGGCGACAAATGAATGAGAATTGTCATTTCTCGTAGTTATTCGTGTCTGGGTCACTGCTAACCCAACGAACAACGAGTTTGCATTTGCAAGCGCTCATCTCATATTCATAGTCAGTAAGTAGTATGTGAACGTGTGTGTGGACGACATTTTCGAGGAAGCACACGACCGGTTTGGCGGTTGTTGCCGCTCATCAGCTATCCGTACTCGGTACTCCTATGCCCACTCGTCTTCTGACTTGTACACTCCGATGATCTTTTATGTTCAATAGGATCTAATTTGAATCGTCTCGATTGTGAATGGATACTGTTGATTGAAGAGGCGACAAATGAATGAGAATTGTCGTTTCTCGTAGTTATTCGTGTCTGGGTCACTGCTAACCCAACGAACAACGAGTTTGCATTTGCAAGCGCTCATCTCATATTCATAGTCAGTAAGTAGTATGTGAACGTGTGTGTGGACGACATTTTCGAGGAAGCACACGACCGGTTTGGCGGTTGTTGCCGCTCATCAGCTATGCGTACTCGGTACTCCTATGCCCACTCGTCTTCTGACTTGTACACTCCGATGATCTTCTATAATCACTAGGATCTAATTTGAATCGTCTCGAGTGTGGATGGATACTGTTGATTGAAGAGGCGACAAATGAATGAGAATTGTCATTTCTCGTAGTTATTCGTGTTTGGGTCACTGCTAACCCAACGAACAACGAGTTTGCATTTGCAAGCGCTCATCTCATATTCATAGTCAGTAAGTAGTATGTGAACGTGTGTGTGGACGACATTTTCGAGGAAGCACACGACCGGTTTGGCGGTTGTTGCCGCTCATCAGCTATGCGTACTCGGTACTCCTATGCCCACTCGTCTTCTGACTTGTACACTCCGATGATCTTCTATAATCACAAGGATCTAATTTGAATCGTCTCGAGTGTGGATGGATACTGTTGATTGAAGAGGCGACAAATGAATGAGAATTGTCATTTCTCGTAGTTATTCGTGTCTGGGTCACTGCTAACCCAACGAACAACGAGTTTGCATTTGCAAGCGCTCATCTCATATTCATAGTCAGTAAGTAGTATGTGAACGTGTGTGTGGACGACATTTTCGAGGAAGCACACGACCGGTTTGGCGGTTGTTGCCGCTCATCAGCCTATGCGTACTCGGTACTCCTATGCCCACTCGTCTTCTGACTTGTACACTCCGATGACCTTTTATGTTCAATAGGATCCCATTTGAATCGTCTCGAGTGTGGATGGATACTGTTGATTGAAGAGGCGACAAATGAATGAGAATTGTCATTTCTCGTAGTTATTCGTGTCTGGGTCACTGCTAACCCAACAAACAACGAGTTTGCATTTGCAAGCGCTCATCTCATATTCATAGTCAGTAAGTAGTATGTGAACGTGTGTGTGGACGACATTTTCGAGGAAGCACATGACCGGTTTGGCGGTTGTTGCCGCTCATCAGCTATGCGTACTCGGTACTCCTATGCCCACTCGTCTTCTGACTTGTACACTCCGATGATCTTCTATAATCACTAGGATCTAATTTGAATCGTCTCGATTGTGAATGGATACTGTTGATTGAAGAGGCGACAAATGAATGAGAATTGTCATTTCTCGTAGTTATTCGTGTCTGGGTCACTGCTAACCCAACGAACAACGAGTTTGCATTTGCAAGCGCTCATCTCATATTCATAGTCAGTAATTAGTATGTGAACGTGTGTGTGGACGACATTTTCGAGGAAGCACACGACCGGTTTGGCGGTTGTTGCCGCTCATCAGCTATGCGTACTCGGTACTCCTATGCCCACTCGTCTTCTGACTTGTACACTCCGATGATCTTCTATAATCACTAGGATCTTATTTGAATCGTCTCGAGTGTGGATGGATACTGTTGATTGAAGAGGCGACAAATGAATGAGAATTGTCATTTCTCGTAGTTATTCGTGTCTGGGTCACTGCTAACCCAACGAACAACGAGTTTGCATTTGCAAGCGCTCATCTCATATTCATAGTCAGTAAGTAGTATGTGAACGTGTGTGTGGACGACATTTTCGAGGAAGCACACGACCGGTTTGGCGGTTGTTGCCGCTCATCAGCTATGCGTACTCGGTACTCCTATGCCCACTCGTCTTCTGACTTGTACACTCCGATGATCTTTTATGTTCACAAGGATCTAATTTGAATCGTCTCGAGTGTGGATGGATACTGTTGATTGAAGAGGCGACAAATGAATGAGAATTGTCATTTCTCGTAGTTATTCGTGTCTGGGTCACTGCTAACCCAACGAACAACGAGTTTGCATTTGCAAGCGCTCATCTCATATTCATAGTCAGTAAGTAGTATGTGAACGTGTGTGTGGACGACATTTTCGAGGAAGCACACGACCGGTTTGGCGGTTGTTGCCGCTCATCAGCCTATGCGTACTCGGTACTCCTATGCCCACTCGTCTTCTGACTTGTACACTTCGATGATCTTTTATGTTCACTAGGATCTAATTTGAATCGTCTCGAGTGTGGATGGATACTGTTGATTGAAGAGGCGACAAATGAATGAGAATTTTCATTTCTCGTAGTTATTCGTGTCTGGGTCACTGCTAACCCAACGAACAACGAGTTTGCATTTGCAAGCGCTCATCTCATATTCATAGTCAGTAAGTAGTATGTGAACGTGTGTGTGGACGACATTTTCGAGGAAGCACATGACCGGTTTGGCGGTTGTTGCCGCTCATCAGCTATGCGTACTCGG